ACCGGGGCAGCCTCCTGGACGACTCCCCAAAAAAATTGGCGAAGCTGATCAGAGAGGCCGACCGCCCCGCCTTGTCAGGACTTCTCTCGCGTCGGAGCCCGCGCAGGGCACGAAGGCGATAGGGGGCGCCTTTTCCAGGATGCCATCGTCTTCATGGACGAGCTTCGCGCCCTCCTCGCCGGGCGCCGCTTCTCCTTCCTGTTCGAGAACGTCGTCATGTCAGTGCCGGACGCGGCGGTTATTTCCGACGCCCTCGGTGTGGAGCCGGTCTTCGTCTGTTCGTCCGACTTCGGATGGGTGTCCCGGCCCCGCCTGTGGTGGCTCAGTGTCGACTGGGCGCTCGTCCCTAAGGACCCCGTCGCGGACTCGCCCCTGGAGTGGACCAGCCAGGGCCGCTGGTCTCGGTTACGCCTGGCGGGAACCTGGGCGGCAGCCGACTCCTTCGACCTGGGCGGCCTCACCTTCGACCCGTCCGTGGCTCGGGGGCAGGTGCTCGTTCCCTGTGCCACCACCACGCCAGCCCCCACCGAAGACGCCCGACGCCGGAGATCAAGGAGCACGTCCCCAAGGGCTACACCGCCAAGGGAGGGGCGGACGCCAAGCGGTCGCTTCCTGGCCATCGTCGTCTGGGCTTCCTGGCAGCAGCCGGCCCGTGGGGAGGCATGGGTACCCAAAACGCCGGGGAGGTCGACGAAACAGTGGCTTCTGGGCCACTGGCACGCCCACGGCTGGGACTTCGCTCCGCCTGCTCGGCCCGATCCCCCCTTTCTGGGCGATGGCTTGTCTGAGGAGCACTCGACATCTGCGCCTCACTTTAGCCACTCGCTGACTTCGCCGCCGGTCCTCGAACCGGCCCTGGAAGGTGTGCTCCAATTCCGCGCCCACTGGCGCCACGACATGGTGCGCATTCGCCATTGGCTCGACCCCACCAGGATCTACTCCAGAGGGCGAACTACCCAGCGGTCCAAGACCTGAGGGACCTCGAGGAGCAGGGAGGACGGGCGGTACTCCAGGGCGACTGCTTCGCCGCGCTCTCCTTCGCCATCACCCAGCTCGACGAGAACGGGGACCTCAAGCTGCGTCGAGGCGAGGACTGGCGAAGGTCCGGCCACAACGCCACCATGCGGGCGCACGACGTCCCAACGCACCACTTCCTCGGGGACATCGTGGACATCATACGCCGGGCGATGGCTTCGGGCTGGCGGGCGTTGCTCTTGGTCCTCTTTGGCCACTTCGTCGATGACTTTAACGGCGTGGAGGACAAGGCAGGCCGACTCCCGACTTCTTCGCCCTTCTGGGCCTCCAGACTAAGCCGTCCAAGGCTCAACCACCGGCTCAGGAGCATGTGGTCCAGGGCGTCTCGGTGCGGGTGGCCGAAGCGGGCGTCGAGCTGCGCCCCACCGCCGACCGCACACAGAAGATCCTCAAGCAGATCGACCACGCCCTGGAGACGGGGGCCATGAAACCGGACGTGGCATCCAGGCTGGCCGGGCGACTCACCTTTTTCAGCCAGTCGGTTTTCGGCCGGCCGGGCAGCCATCAAGCCGCTCTACGCCAGGGCGGCCGACACGGCGGCCCACTCCGACGACGCCCTCTCGGTGGGGCTTCACTCCGCCCTCCTGGCCCTCCGACGCCTGGTGGCTACGGCCAAGCCGCGCCTCATCCCTTGGCCGGGGGCGGTCACGGGACCAGTCCCCGTCCTCTACGCTGACGCCTTCTTCCTGGAGGGCGACTTGCGCAAGAATTGGTGGGCCACCTCCAGCCGGGGGACCAGGTCCCTCGCTCAGCCAGATGGGAGAACGGCTGGGGCTTTGTGCTCCTCCTCAAGGGCCAGGTGTTCTACGACTTCGGCGTCAAGCCCGAGTACCTCAAGCCCTTCGCGTCTCGCCGGGCCTTCATCTACGTGCTGGAGATTTTGGCGCAGGTGCTCCCTGTCATAACCTTCGCCAGGAGGCTGCCCCAACATTGGATCGCCTTCATCGACAATGTCGCGGGGCAGTTTGCCCTCATGAAGGGATATGGGCGGGACCCCGCCGTGAACGGTATCCTCGCCTCCTTCTGGGGCCTGGCGGCCGATCGGGCTTGGTGCCCCGAGTTCTACAGGGTCCCCTCCGCCGCCAATGTTTCCGACGCCGTCTCTCGGGGCGACGACTCGAGAGCAGCCCGTGAAGGATGGTGCCGTGTTCGGGCACCGGTCGACGACGTCATGGTGATCCTCGGGCGGGCGGCTTCCGACATCGACTACGCCTGCCACGAGGCTCCTGAGAGGCTGCTAGACCTTGCTTCTTGGTAGTCAGTGCCGGCACCTTATGGGAGGTGGGTGCGCCGGGCGGACGCAGAAGTGCGCACCCCGGCACCGGCACCGGCTTTCGGGGCGGTGTGCTCGGCCGGGCGCATTTTATGCGACTCGACCATCCAAAAAGGAGCCACTGCACCCTAAGTAGGATTTTGGGCTAACTCGTTAGCGCAGCGCTTGTTGTGTAGCGCACGCGTGCGAGTATAGGAACAAGCGTCAGCGATCGACCGCAGTCTGCCGGCTCGATCGCTTCAGCTTTTCAGTTCCCGCCCACTCCACCCTTTTGCTTCAAACGACTTATATACGGCCGTCACCCGCCCCACCGGGCGGTTGTCCGGGGCGGACGCAGAAGTGCGCACCCCGGCACCGGCACCGGCTTTCGGGGCGGTGTGCTCGGCCGGGCGCATTTTATGCGACTCGACCATCCAAAAAGGAGCCACTGCACCCTAAGTAGGATTTTGGGCTAACTCGTTAGCGCAGCGCTTGTTGAGGATGTTCGTGATCCCCGGGCATCTTTGTGCAATGCAGTGCAATATAGGTGACAGATCTACCCAACTGGCGCCAACTTTCCCGCTCGACCAGAAGTTCCGAGGCCCGTGGTCCGTCCGCCGGCTTGTGCCCACTGCCTCGTTTCTTCTTAGAGGATGCCGCTTGCGCATGTGCTTGAGCGGCCACCAGGCCTTGATTGATCATGTGGCAGGGATGGGCAGCATGGACAGGCTCGGAAAAAGCCCGTCTGGCACTCACAAGCCTTCATGACAAGTAGATGGATGGCAGAAATTTTCCGAGTGCCGCGCCGGTTCTACAATAAGAGTCGAGCAAAGGCCCTGCCGTAAGAACAGAGGTGTGTCCACAGCAAGCCTCCGCGTAGTGCTTGCTGGTCTACGTATGAGTTATTGAATGTTGCCTCTCAGAGCAACCTCTCATGTGTAAGTGTGCATGATGGAGAGTCAATGCTTGCCTGCGATGTGGGTACCATGTTTCCTGTAAAGCCGGCAGGCCCGAGTCAGTTGTGGAATATGCGGAGAAGATATACACATTCACGGACGAGAGCCCCACAACGTCGGACGCCGCCTCCTACACTGCAGCCTTTAGAGACGATACTGACCAGAAGTTCTACGAATGCCTCTCGACTTGTTGAGCACTGTCAACTTGGTGTTATCTAGGGCAAGCTCGTCTATCTTTCTGCCCGAGCATCTGCACTGAGTTTAGCCAAGTCTACTTCATTCTTACGCCGAAACTGCTGCATCGAATTCGCGCACAGCAAGACCCATTGTGCCGAAAGCCGCGTTCACGCCGCGGTGGACAAGAATCTCGAAAGTTTGCTTCGGCACTGCCTGAGTGCAGATGCGTCCATAGTTACCTCCGCCCAACGCGTGGTTGTGAGCTATGCCGAGAATGCCGTGCCTTTCGTGCAGCAGCGTACTGCAGGAGCCACATTGGAACTGATGAGCTGTCTAGTGCAGGCTGGCATTCGCAAAAACTTGCAGCACATATGGATGTGTGTCCAGACTCTCGTGACCGTATTGCGCGCACTGAGCCTGCGCCAGCGTCAGAAGTGCGTGTCCCTGTTTGCCAAGCTGCTGCTGGATCCTGCCTTTCCAAAGCGGAACATCTTGGAACAGCTGAAGCTGCTCTGGATAGTCGACCGCGATCCCAGACGAACCTATGCAGATGCCTTGCAACAGATGCGGATTGCCGCAAAGATCTGCACCGAAGCAGATGTGCAGCGTGAGCTGAACACTAAGGATGAGTCATGATTCGCGCCGTCTCAAGCTTCAGGTTGATGGGTTTCTGGGAGGTGCTCCCCCAGGTCCTTAACCTCCTCCAGTGGGGTTCCGGCCACGCGTGGTTTGGGCTGTCTTGCCCAGCACACTGTTCGGGTTCCCTTTTGCTCTCCTTCGCTTTCTTTGCTTGTGGCTTTAGCTCGGGGGCCCTGGCTGTGGTTTTCTTCCTGAGGGCCCACCTTTTTGGACTTTCTCCTGAGCCTGCTCCTTCGTGGACTTCCTCCTCTCCGGCTCCAGATCCCTCTCGGCCACCACGGCCTCACCACCTTCGGCTGCGTGCTTACGCGTTGCATGGGGGACAGTGAGGCTGACCTGTCCTCTGCCATCACTGAGGTCAATTGCCTTGGAGAGGCTGCGCGTCGCTTCCCTCCGCACCTCGCCCTCCAGGGCTGCTGCGTCTGAAGCTCCGGAGTGGGAGCTGGTCTCTGCTGCTGATCCTGCTGGTCAGCCTTTGGGGTCTAGTTTGGGTTCTAGTCCCGCCCCTAGTGGTTACCCTAGGGCCGACCCTATCCCTCCTTTGCCTGCTCCTATCAGTCGCTCCGAGACTGAGGCTGGCTTTCGGGATTGCCCTCAGCACTGCTTGGATTTGTGTGCACGGCTCACTGCCGGTCCTCTCTCAGCGGAAGCTCGGGCGAGACGGGCCTGGCGTGCGTTGGGCTGCAGAAGTCCTGTCGGGCCGCTGGGCCACACCTCTTTCCTCGGCTCCCTTGGCTGTCAGGCCGGCTATCTACATTGTGCTTCGGTCTCGTCTGGGCCGCCCTGCTCGCTTCACTTCCTTTACTGCCCTTCGTCGGGCCATTGGGGAAATTGAGGGCAGCCGGCGTGCCCTTTCCCGAGCCTCTTGCGTGATGAGGATAGACGACCGGAGCAGGACTCCCATGGACTCCCCTGCCGCCTGACGTGGCCGCTCATCTCCAATGGCACTCGCGACCTCCAGGTCTTGTGCCTTCCGTTGCTGCAACGGCTTTATGGTCTGCGTTCCGGCTTTCCTCCATACCTCTGCTATGGGCAATGCTGCGAGCACCGAGCCTTTGGACTCGATTGGCCCTTTCTGCCTGGAGTCTGTCGAGACAATCGACGAGGACGAGAGTGGAGAGGAGCACCCTACAGGGATCCAGTGCCAGGTCCTTCTCGTCGATCTGGACGAGAGCCTCCTTTCCTCGATGGAGCCCTTCGATCCGGTGACGGACCTGACGGTCATGCCTTCCTCAACTGGTGCCCCAAGGCGAGGCTCTTATGCTGGCAGCCCGAGCATGGATCGGAGGGGACGGCGGCGAACGGCTCGCCTTCTACACCGCAGGCGAAGAGATGGAGGAGGCCCAGGATGCTCAGTGAAAGGAGGTCCCTCCAAAGCGGGCCGCAGCGGCAAAGAAGAGGGTGACGGTGACGCAGCTGGCCGAACAGGTCACGGCTTTGGCGGGCCTGCTGCCCGGCCTTGTGGATCAGGTCAACTCGGTGGTAGACCGACAAAATGCAATGGAGAAGGCGGGCCAGCCCCTCTCACCTCCGACCTTGGCGGTAACCGCTCCGGCTCCATCGGCCTTGCCGCAGCCCGTTCCGTTGCAGTTCCCTCCAGCAGGTCAGGCAGGTCAGGCAAGCCAGGCGAAGGCCCTAGGTGCTTTGGCGAAGGTGCTGCCCTTGCCCGCAAAGGTCCCAGGTGCACTGCCATTTCAGGCTCCTCCTCCGCAGGCGACCCTGGCCGATCCTGACTTGGCTGCAAGCTCGGGCTCTCAGAGCTCCTCTTTGGCAAAGGCCCTGACACAACAAGGCGAGGCCCTCTCGATGCTGGTGGGGCACCTAGTTATAATAGTTGCCCAAGGCGAGCACTTAGACTTGTCGAGCTCGTCGGCCGGCCTCTCTGGCAAAGGGACAGCAAAGAGGGAGAAGCTCCAACAGGAGCTGGCAGTGGGGGCTCCAACTTCTTTCTTCAGGTGAGGCAAGGGGCCCACCGACGTCTCCTCGAGGAGATGCAAAGCCAAGGCCGGCTGTCTCTTGTGACCTACTTGGAGAGGCAGGGTGGATACGCCCACCAGCGAAACATGGGGATCCATATGCTGATGCTGACGCCTTCCTCCGCGGAGACGACCGCGCCGCTCGCGAGCACCTAGCGTTGGCCCTGAGTGCCACCGAGCAGGCAGCGGCCGACAACGGCCCTCCGTGCATTCTCTCCTCTAGTGCCTGCGGGCCTTGCTTCGGTGACCCTGGCTTACGTCAAGGAGGTCGACCTGTTGTCTCAGAGAAGGAAGGATGCTGTGCAGCCGGGCCGCAGCCAGCCCAGAGAAGGAGAAGATGGAGGGGAAGCGGAAAAGCCACCGAGGCGCCCGCGTTTTCCTCGAAAGCCAAAGGACAGCTAGACTGCTGCTCTGGCCTCCCGGGTTCTTGCCGAAGTGCAGCCCCCGGTGTTTCCCGAGCCCCGCCGGCGTTCCCGCTCCCGGCCCCACCTGTGCTAATTCAACTGCAGCCTGTGCCGACCATGCTCGCTCTGAGGTAGGCCGTGCCGGCGTCCCTTTTAAGGTCGATGCCCCAATCTCTTTTAGGTCTTGGGCTTTCTGTGCGCATTTGAAATTTCTTAAGGCCCGCACGCCCTTCTCCTATTTTCTTTCGAGAACTTTGCACCTTTGCCGGCGCGGTGGTTCCCCCCCGGCTTCGGTCCTCTTCCCGCTCCCCGTACCATACCCTGGCATGTTCCGGAGCACTTCCTTTGTGGGCTCCCGCCGTCGCACCTTGACCGCTGAACGGAGGCTTTTGCACATCTTGGTGATGGCCCTCAACTATCTTCTTTACAACGACTGTTCTTTTGTGCCGGTGCACCTCTTGCAACGAGAGCCTAACCGTGCTCAGTGGCGGTGCCTGTGCTACATGGGGAAGCTGATCAGGACCTACGGTAGCGAGCTGGAGGGAGTAATACCTTCCACCGCCGGCCGTCGAATGAGCGCTTTGCGTGCCCGCCTTGGTGAGCTTTCGGAGAAGCTCACAAAACTGGGTCCGACCCCTACGCCTGGATCCCACCGGAGGACCGCGAGCTGCCTCAGGACTCTCCTGCTGAGGCCCTGCAACCCTACGTGTCTGTCCAGGCCGACCTTCTCCAACTGAGTGGCACGGGCTCCCATCCGACTCCTTTTCTTTCGGATGAGCTCTGGCTTGCCTACGTCGAGCCGAAGTCGCTCCTTTTTGGAAGGGTGCAGTCGAGAGGACCCCGGTGAAACACTGCGCCTTGCCCGGCTCTGGTCGTCCATGGGCCTCTTGTGCCTCGAGCCCTTTGACCCCAGCCTGCCGGAGCACTGCTACACGCGCATCTTTTGCGCAAAGAAAAGCTCGGGCAAGCTTCGCCAGATAGGCGTGGGCCCAACGGAACGGAAGCCTCACTGAAAGGGCCCTCACAACATCTCCCCACTGGAGAGGTCATGACATCCCTCAGCCTCTCTCCCTCCAAGGAGGGTTTCGCTCTGTGCGTGACTGATCGACGTGATTTTTATCACCAGCTCCAGATCAGCAAGCAGAAAGCAAGGACGAACCGGCTTCGGCCGCTTATCCCCGCTAGTGAGGTTGCCGGCCTTCCGGCTTGGGAGGCGTTGCTTTCGGGGGCTGATCCTGCAGTCTTGCCCTGCCCTCTTGCGAAAGGGCTCTCGCCAGCTGGGTGCCCGAGCGCGGGCCGCTCTTCGAGCCCTCCTTCCTATGTCCAGGCTTGCTTCGCCTCCGTTCTGCAAGGTGACCACCTGGGGGTTGAGCATGCTACGTGTGCCCACGCGGGCCTTCTGATGTCGGAGGGTTTGCTCGACTTCCACAGCCGGCTCGTTGCTCACAGCCCGGTGGTCGACGCTGTCTGCCACGACGGCCTGATCATCGACGACTACTTTTCCATTTCGAAGGTCCCCCGAGCCGACCATGACAAGCTGGAACCTGCCTCTGACACGGCTGCCCGAGACCGGCTCCAACATGCGGGAGATCTACCTCCACCACTCTCTGCAAGGTTTGAAAATGCAAACGTTGCGTCCATAGCAGGTGCCGAGATCGACTCCCGGACGGCCACCCTGGATAAGCAGCTCTGTGTCGTTGGGGCCCCTCGCTGCAAGAGGCTCGCGCTCAGTGATCTCACCGCGATGCCTTGCATGCGTGCGTCATGGGCACGTGGTCCTCGGTGTTCACTTTCAGACGGCCCTGCTTCTGTGCGTTCTCCGCTGCTTTTGGCCTCGTCCCGCTCAGCCAGCTCGACCCTCTGAGGCCTCGTGTGTTGCCTCTGCCACGCCGCTGTGCGGAGGAGCTCTTGCTTGCGGCCGCTTTGGCCCCCGTTGCCTGTGCTGATGTGGCGGCTCCCTTTGCAAAACGCCTATATGCTACCGATGCCTCCGAGGAGCGAGGAGCTATCTGCTCAGCCCCCCTTCCCGGTGACTTGCAGGCCCTGGTGTGGAAGACTGACCGCAAACGGGGTTATGCACGGATCGCCTCGCCTGCGCGAGTGCTGCTAAAGAGGGCCGATCCTTTCTGGGAGGATGAGGAAGGCGAGCCGCCTGGGGCCCCTCCTCTCAGAAGGCCTCTGGGTTACCTTTTCATAGGTAAAGGAGCAAGGGCCATTGGACTTGAGCTTGGCTTTGGGCCCTTTGCTCGACCCGGCCGTGTCTCCTTACTTCTCCTTGACGGTCCCTAGGCTGATAGAGTGGGTCTTCTTTCTCATTGAAGAAGACCGGGTCCGGTGCATCTACATTGTGCCTCCGCTCCAGCCTCGGCGCCCCATCTTGGGTGGATCCTCTGGCCCTGCCGACCGCGCTCTGCGGCTCTGCCCGGACGATTGGGCCTGGGTCTCGCGTTCCCTCGCCATAGGCTAGGCCGGCAGCTGTTATCCAGGTCCCTGCCGAGGCTCCCTGCTCCAAGGCGAAGGTGTGGTCCAGACTGAGGGACCTCCCGGGCTCCACCGAGACTGTTGCTCACTCCTGTGCGTTTGGTTCTCCTTTCCGGAAGGCCATCAGGCTACTCGCGGTTGGTTGCTCCTTGAGCTCTGTTGTCCGACCCTGCTTGTGCGTTGGAGGACACAAAAGAGTACAGGGCCGCTACGGGACCGCTTCTGCGCCCATTACCCCCGGCCTGGCCCACGCGATTGGGTCCAGCTTTGATGCCTCCCTTCGGGCAAAAGTGAGCCGGCTCGCCCAAGCCGATCTTCGTGTTGAAGGCCTGGAGCGGATTGCTTCTTCGGACCTTGCCCTCTCCCTTGACTGGAGAGTTGAGCAAGCTTGGCCATGGAAGGGGCAGGTCCACATTAATATCCTCGAGTCCTCCACCATTGCCCGCCTCTTCCTCTGAGGGTGGCCCCTTGCGTTTTGCGAACCTTTGCGACGGTTGTTAAAGGTCGCTCGCCATCCCAAGGCCTCCGCCATTCAGCCCGACGGGCTTCCGCCATCAGTCTGGCTGCGGGCCTCTATCATGGTGGGTTGTTCTGCCCGACCCGTTGGATTCCAGCCGATGCCCCTTCACGCTCGAAGCCTCTGCCGGAGCCTGTCAAGAGCCTTGGCCCGGGAGTTTGGAATCAAGACAGGTTCTACGAGGATGCTCGCCGACCCCGGCTCCGCCGCTGGGCTGCCAACTGGCTTCGTCTTGCCTTTGTGCTCCAGCCTTCCCTTGCTGATCTGAAGACTGCCTCTTTTGAGAGCCGGTGGACTTCCGTTCCCTTCCGTGCCTTCACTGCCTCTCGCCCGTTCGACTCGACGTTGGGCTTTTGGGGCGAGGGGCCCTCCTTCGGCGCCCGATGGTCTTTCCTTGTGCCCTGGCTGCTCTGCTTTCCGGCCCCCCTTTCCTCAGGCAGGCTTACCTTCAGGGTCTGCGGATTGGGGTTTGTAGCTTTTGCGCCTGCGGTTGCAGCCATGGAAACCAGAGCTCTGAAAGCAGAGGCCGAGAGGAGACTGTTTCGTACCGGTCTCGAGCTGGAGAGAGGTCGCCCGGTTCAGCAGACGACGAGGAACCGCCGCGGAAAACTGAAAGCTGCTTTCGAAGACTGGCTTTTCGATAGAGGCCGCACCTGGGAAGGACTGAGAGCTCTAGGGAGGAGCGACGTCGACCAGCTCAACGAGGTCCTTATTTGGTATGGCCAGTGGCTTTTTGAGGAGGGAAAGCCATACTACCATTACGCTGAGACCTTGAATGCTTTTACTCTGGACTGCCCCTCTGTGAGGAGACTTCTTCAACCAGCTTGGGATTTGGCTTTTGCCTGGCAACGACATGAGCCTCCGACGCACCACACTGCTATGCCTTGGCAAGTGCTTCTTGCCCTCATGGCAGTGTGCTACGTCTGGGGCTGGGACGATGTCGCTGGGCTCCTAGCCCTTTGCTGGGGAGGTTTGGCCAGAGTTGGTGAGGTGTTGGCGGCCAAGAGGCGGAACTTGGTGGTCCCGGCTGACGTCGGCCTGGAGGCGCTGCCAGGACCCAAGCAGGTCTTTCTTTCAGTGCTGGAACCAAAGACCCGCTTTAAAGCGGCCCGTCACCAGTGTCTGAAAATTGACCAACCCCAGCTGGTCGAAGCGATCATCTTTGCCTTTGGGCGGCTCGGCCCCGAAGCTTCGCTCTGGCCACGCTCGGGCTCTGCTCTCCGACTTCGTTTCAAGAAACTGCTCGCCGCGGTCGGGCTTCCTATTGGAGCAGTTGAAGGAGTGCGGGACTTTGACCTCGCCAGCCTCCGCGCAGGAGGCGCCACATGGCTGATGAACGTTACAGAATCTCCAGATCTGGTCAGGCGACGCGGCCGCTGGATCACGAACAAGGTGATGGAGATTTACGTACAGGAGGTTTCTGCGATGATGTATCTTCCCCGCTTGGAGCAAGGCCAACGGAAAAACCTCTTTGCATGGACAAACTCCTTTCAGTCAGCCTTCGAGTTTGCCCAGTGGAGCTCGTCGCTCCACCTTTCTCCGAGCCTGAGGCACGTTCTGCTGCAGCACGGCGTTTGCAATGCTTGAGACTTCGGGTGCTTCTTCTTCTTTCTCCATTCTATTGTGTTTGGGGCGGAGGCCGCAGCAGCTGTACAGCGCAGCATAGCTGCCAACCTGTGACCTCCACTTCAAGGTGCAAACAGAGTGGCGAATCCTTGAACACTAAGGATGAGTCATGATTCGCGCCGTCTCAAGCTTCGCCCGCCCGGCCCGCCCACGCCCGGCCGCAGCAGCTGTACAGCGCAGCATAGCTGCCAACCTGTGACCTCCACTTCAAGGTGCAAAAAGAGTGGCGAATCCTTGTACAATCTCGTTCAATTTGGCTGAGGCCTGCCTCCAAGAGTCAGTGCGTGTCAAAAGAGAACTGGTCGTGCTGGTTGAGCATAAACAGATTGAATCACCCTCACACCCTCACCGACATCACCAGCATCACCAGCATCAGTAGCATCGCCGGCATGAACAGCATCACCACCATCATCACTTGCTTTGCCTTCACCTTTCCTGTCAACAACATCAGGATCAATGTTCATCATCGTCACCACCACCATCATCATCATCATCATCCATGCTGTATTTTCACACGCGGCAAAAGTCTCACGCTTGTCCTGCGGGCGCCGTTCAATCGTCACAGACGATTGGCCATCCTGTGATGACTGGCACGTCACCGCAGTGCCTTGTTGCGGTGTGGGTTTTCCACAGCTGAGATTACACGTCTTACCCTCGCATCAATGACTTAGTCATCCAATGCGTGGAGGTAAGGCGTACGAGCTTCGCAAACGACCACTGAGTACTTGTTCTGTGCAAGTTTTCGAAGCACTGACCACTGATCAGATCACTCATCATTCGTACCCGATGATCCAGTCGGTTGAGCGCACTTGAATGTTCTCCATGTTCAGGGCAGCTGCATCCAGCTGAACTTGCTTGAGGATTAGTTGACTCCACCCCAAATCCTCCTGTGTCAAAAATGGCCGAGTCATTTCTGATCCGTCCACCTTCGGCGTTGGAAACTAAGTGTACGCTAGCTTCCTTCTGGGGTTCGACCCTACAAGACAACGCATAAGTTTGTGCTCAAGTGATCCAACTGCCCCGTTTCACGGATTTGGGGCGGTGTGTGGTCATCATACAGCCATGTTGATGGAGCAAAGCCATATAGTGACTTCAGGGATTAACAACCCTACCAAGAGTTCCTTGCACTGTGCGAGACGCAGTGGACCCTAGACATCATGTCATAGTCATCCAAGAGACCCACTGGCATAAGACTGGGGACTATATTTCGGGACCCTTGGCTAGCTTTGACCCCTCGACCCGTGGGCTCAACATCAACTTTGGCAGGCGCTCGGGACTCCTTTTCCTCATCGCGTCCTCAAGGACCCGCGCATACAGGAGGTCCAACACGCACGTCTTGCACGTGTTCCTGTGGTGCGCAAAGTCAGCAACATGCCTTTCAGCATCGCGGAGGTCTATCAGCACGCGTGGAAAAGTAAGCTCACTTCAGACAAAAATCTAGAGCTTGGGCAAGGCATCTGGACACAACTTGACGACATCATCACGAAAGCTCCCATCCGGCATGTCTGATAACCTGTGGTGATTGTAACACTACCCTGCGACCGGAACATCCCGTCAAGGGCTGAGAGGCTCAGCGGCTGGCTCCAGGGTGTCGGAGGAGGTCCACCCGTTCGGAGGAGGAGTGGCGCTCGACGGCATGCAGTGGGCGAAGATTTTCGCCTCTACGTCCGCTGCTGCCGACAATGTCATCCTGGAATAGGCCTCGTGCGCAGTATTCAACCGCAATGGCAAGTTGTGCTTAAAGGATTATGCGTTGATTAGAGTGCCTCCCCGGGGAACTTACCTGGCTTTTGCACCGCCTGCACGTTCGGCCACGCGTCAAATGGCTCTTAAAGCTCTTGCTACGGCAGAGGGCAGCGGGGAGCCGGATGACTGCTGTAGCGGGTTTGTTGTACTGCTGACGAATGTGTTTTGCACCTGCTACTAAGTAGAGCCTTCGTGGAGACGCCTGACGAGCGCTTTCCGATCGGCCTATGTCAGCATGAAACTCTGGTTGTGGGAGTATGTGTGGAAGCGAGCTCGACGTAGTTTTTTGCTAGGTGGGATTCTTGCTTCAGCGAATGTCGTCTCAGCAGATCACGAAGAGACCTGACGGAGGTCTCGGGTTTGGGAGGGCTCAACTTGAGGCTGTCGCCGGTCGCCGAGCACTGGGCACGAGCGCTTAGTGATGCACAGATTCAACTGTTTCAGAAAGCCACGGAGGCACAGGTTGCACGTAGGCATTCCCGCGACTGAATGCTTCCCCGCATTGAACTGCTCGGGTGCAGCTTCTGGCCGCGACTCCTCCGGGTGATGCAAGGCAATGTGAATGTCCAATGCTTGAGTGTGACCACGGAGTGGCCGCTTCTATGTCATGTGGCTCCTGTTTTCAGCTACGCAGTCCAAGGGTGGCATAGCAACCTACTACTACTTCCAGCGAGGAGATCAAGCTGGGGCTGATGCAGACTTGCCACAGCCGCAAGCGATGCTTCGAAGAGAGGAACCTTTGCCGTTGAGAGCTTTACGACTTTACGAATGTGCTGATACTTGCGCCCCGCAGCCTCAATTCTATGTTGTATGTGTCACATGGAGGTCAAGTCTGTTCTTGTAGGCAATGGCTGTGCCCACCTAAACGTGAGAGGTGTGTGTGCAAAGCGAGTGTTCTTGGCCTAGTGCCTGCAGTCAACGATGGTAGTTAGGCTTTCCCTCCTTTGTGTAGGTGTGTTGCCGTGAAAGTTTGTCGGCATCTTTGCCTTCAGTCAACATATAAGAGCAGTTTTCTGATAGTTGACATCAGTTTACAGATGGCGAGCGATTCAAGCAACAATTCAATATTACAAAGTGTTTGAGGAAGTTCGGCCCTTTTTTGACTTCCCAACACCCGTGCCAATCATCCCGGACTTTCTGCAAATTGGGGTAAGGGGGGTCCATGACGGGGCTTATGTTCTGAAGGATCTGAGGCGCCGTGATAACCAAACAAACCACAACTTTGTCCCGCGTGCCTGGAGTTTTCATTCTCTGCTTTGCGGGGGAAACAGCTTGTTTGGCTTGTCTGGTGCAGCCTGAGCGCGACCCGTCGGGGCTTTCGGACTGTTCTATTGGATTTCTGATTGTAAGCTGTCCACGTCGTAGGCTGCAGCAGCCTTCTTGGCGTGAGGCTGCAACTGGTATGGCGCCGGCCGGGCAGCGTTCGTCGGAATATGATTGGAATGGCGGTCTCCGGTAACAGAAAATTGTGGATGGGCGTCGTGTGCTTGACACTGGCCCCTGCGTCGTTTCATCTGACAAGGATGTAATTTGAATTGGCTTTTCTTTGCGCAGAATTCTTGATCACGTACGATTTGCTGGAGGGTGGGGTCAAAAATATCATGGGATGTAGGGTTCGGGACGGCACAACCTATACCAGGGTGGGCTGTGTTTAGGGTGGAGTTGAAGTCTCCCTCGATGAGTCTGTGTCTGGCACCAAATTCAAACTGTGTGGTGCGTTCGGTACACGTGCTGACATATGCCAAGCACATCAACTGGCAGCTGACTCCGAGCGCGCGTGGCTCAGACTTGCGACAGCCTACCACATGTTCCTGTGTTGCAATGTTGCGGAATGCCTTGCGGGAGATCATGACCAGCGCGCCGTCGTGCTTGTCCGGTCCATCTTTGGCGTCCTGTCCAAAGCTGTGTACCCAACACCACTCCCCACAACGGAAGTCTTCTGTGGGCTTCCAATGTGTTTCTTACAAGTTCCCATTTGCCACTTGATGCAAGCCACGCCATCAGTTCTTGAACTGTACCTGGGGCCCAGCCTCCTACGTTCCAGCTGAAAGTGTTAATCGCTGGCAGTGTCCTGTCTGCTGGGGCACTTGGTTGTCTGCCGCCACTGCAGAGGGAACTCTCACCCCCTACCGCAGCATGAAATCAAGCGAGCCGTCGAGGATGCCGAGGCGACGTGCGTGCTCTCCTTCGTGGCCGTTTGGCGATGGCTGCTGTCCATGCTCCGGGCCAGTCGCAGCATTGGTGCTTGAACGATTGCCAAGGTTACAGGGCTGAAGCTGGAGGTTCACAAACCAAATTCATTTTACGGCAGCGCTGCCTGGGGCGTCGTCGCTGGCTTGCGGAAGTTTCAGGCGTGCCAGCGTGCCAGGTTGCAGCAGCCTCTGCCTCAAACGACGACGACGACTACTCTTCTTCCTAATTGCCGTAGTCCACTTTCTCCGCAGGAAGTCAAGACGGCATCAGTGCATGGACGAGGAGGTCGATCACAGCCAGTGCCTTGTATCGCCAAAAAGACGCAGGATGCGGAAGCACACCCAACCACAAGATCGCACGCAGGCAAGCAAGGATGGTTTCAACGCAACGTCGCAGGTATCTCATGGGGCGCCATTCGCGAATCTGTGCAACGGTATCTCATCGGGGTTATACTGGTGCAACGGAGCAACTGGGGCCGAATCAGTGCTCGTGGCCACAGGCACATTCGGGAGAGACGTGCCTCACGCGCGATCTATGAACAAGGTCTTTACCGCTGTAGGCACCAGGTGGTGGCGGTGGCCCCGCGGGCCGACGCATCCACCGCTCAGCATTATTGGTACCATGATGAGCCCCGCGGCTCCTGTCGTGAGAAGCTATTGAATAGCTATTGCACTCTCATTCTCACGTCCATCATGGCTCATCGTCCGATGCTACCAGCTTCAAAAAGACTTGGGCCTGTGGGCCTCACGTCATCATCACCATCATCACCATCATCACCATCATCACCATCATCACCATCATCACCATCATCACCATCATCACCATCATCACCATCATCACCATCATCACCATCACCGAGTGCAGCAATCCTGGGTGACGTTTAACCGCATCCGTCGAATGCTGGTGACCAAAGCACTACCGCTGCATGTAAGGGTTCGTCTTTGGACAGCTTGTGTGCGGCCAGTTCTTTTGTACGGTTTGAGTGCCCTGTGCCTGGACGCCAACTCTGCCTCTCGTCTACG